TTCTGGTAAGCAACTAAGGAAAACAACATATTTCATTGTTTTTGTGCAGACGTGTAGGTGCCCAGTAGTGCCTCAATGGGTCTCTTTTGTTAAGAGAATTCACTGTTTTCTCTCTGTAGTCCCAGTGGCACTGCCCTGTCCACACTAGATGAGGTCAAGACCTACCTGTTGAATGATGGTACCTGCAAATGTGGTCTGGAGTGCCCACTTATCATTCACAAGGTAACACTGTTTTGTAAATGTGTGCGTCAAAGGATGTGTTGACAGTATATAAAATCTATATTAGTACTATACTAATTCTACACTAGTCTATAATAATCAAAGAATCAGATATACTGTACACGTGCTACACCAATGGTCCTCAACTTTTTATCCTGAAAGACTTTGACTTGTACCTCCAATGAAATCTGCATTTCCCCTCTGTTAATCTAATATTCTATAAATCTTCTGAGATTTTTTTGAGACTTGGAATGCAGAAGTCAAACATCTTTTTTTTTTTTTGTATTAAAACGTGTCAGTTTCAGGTAAACAGGACTTAATTTCCTCTTAAACTAAGATGCCTGTCTATACGTAATGATGCACCAGGACTGTTTTAAACTACTGTGTGCACATTAACAGCTCTATTTTTACCTCTTAATCCAGTTTTTTCAGGGAATTTCAGGAAGTTGTAGCTGTTTGTGTTTCTTTTTCTTTGTGTCAACTTGGTTTTATTGTGTAGCAATATGGCATTTTGTTTGTTATAGTCCCAAACGTTTAGCCTTTTTGTTCTTTTCCTCTAACTTTATCCTCATTATCTTATGTTTACATTATGCATAACATTAGGATGTTGTCTGACAGTATTAGCTGTTGGTGTGAAACAGGGAACCACTGAGCAGTGTACAGTCATGTGCATTAAATAAAGCATCAAATCAAAGCATTTTGCCTCAAATAATTTTGTAATAGTTATTTGGGTTACTTGGTTGTTTTATGTAGCCTTAACCTATACTGTACATTGATTAGTCAAAAGTTTAAAACCCCCTGCCTAATATTGTTTTGGTCTCTCAAAAATAGGAATAATAGGGCACCAATTTTTAACTGACTCACTTTGACCCTGTGGCTGTGTATGCTTTGCAAAATTATTTGATTTTAGTTTAATCCTCTTCAATTTGTATCATGCAGGTTTTTAACTTCAATGTCAGTGCGAAGGTGGAACAGCCATTGGGTAAAGCAGAACAGGACATGACCAAACTGTGCAATCACCGCAGGAAAGTGGTGGCGATGGCTGCTCTGTGTCGGAGTATGCAGGCCTCACAGCTTCCATTTGCCAACTTTCATCATCCAGGTAAACTTTAAAGCACAAAAAGACAAAACATGAGACTGCCTAATACTGTAAATATGTTATTTCATACATCATTAAATAATCAAGTACTGTTGTAACTTAAGACAGAGTTTATTTTTTATTTTTTATTGTAACACGGAGCTCGTAATTGAAAGTTTTAGGAGCATCAGCTCACATTTTTCCTAGTGATAAATGTCTTAGACAAACAAAAGAAAAATTAACTGTTTTATTTTAAAGTAACAACTTACTTAGGCAGGGCTTGTTTATCCATCAAATGTCAAATATTGCAATAGTTTAAGTTAGACATGATTTTTGTTCACAACAATTGCTTTTTAATCCACGAAGTGATCATGTGTTTGTCTGTCTTCACAGATGTGAGTCGAGGGGACGGCAGAGATCCACAGAAGGAACCTGCAGAGCGCAAAGAAAAAGACTGTGGAATTTATTACCCTAAACTCCATTTAGTCTCAACTCAAGTGCACAACAACCTCCACCCAAACCCTTCCGCCAGCCCCAAATCCCCCCACCACTTTATTTATCCTTACAATGGTTCCTCTCCTGTTACCCATACAAACATAAATTCTAGCCATTCCCTAGATACTTTAAGGCGACTTCACCATTATACTCTTCCAGCATCCTCCATTGCTTCCCCCAGCTCCTCGTTTTCAACTCCCAGCACTGCCCAGATGTTAAATCACTCCCCCACCTCTCCCAACATCAGTCACGGTCAGAGAACACCCAAAACCCCAGAGACTCCTAGCTCTCCTCGGCTAACACCCTTGTCATCACCTCCTCCTTCTTCCCCCATTACCCTTAGTGGAGGAAAAAGAGGAGCCCATACTCATCCTCATTCTCCTCTTTCTCCATCTCCCTCTTTCTCTCCCTCTGTCCATATCAAGTGTGTGTCTTCTCACCAGCGATCTCGCCATCTCTCAGCCTCTCCTTCCTCTCTGTCTGAGCGGGGAGGAAGCTCAACAGCAGCAGAAGGGGGAGGTCTGATGGGCAATAATGTGGCTAGGACAAGGAAGTCTGCTTCTTCCTCTCCACACTCGGTTTCCAGTGGCTCCCCTAACCCCAGTCCTCACGTTCCCAAGTACAAGCTGGAGGACATCTTAGAACAGTATAAGAACTCAGGCAACAGCAGCACTAATAACCATCACTTCCCAAATCCTGCTAATCTTTCCTTACTGACCAACCAAAGCAGTAGTCATCCTCATGTTGTCTTCTCAAAGTCTTATAAGGGCACCATGAGTCCAACTGCCAGTGCAGGACCACCAGGTTTTGGGTTGAACTCTACGGGGCCTTCTAGTTTACCTCTGGGGCCATTGCTGAGCCACCACTATGGCCATCAGGGTAAGCTCCCACACCCAGTTTCTTTCCCTGCTAGTAGCTTGCTTTCTGCAGCTGCCAAAGCTCAGCTGGCTAACCAGATAACCCAAGGCTCAAATGTGACCAGCAACCCAGGAAATTTGCCTTCCTCTCTAGACATCTTGAAAGACACACAACAGCAACAAAAGGTAACAAACAGCACTTTACAGAACAGCATCACTTCCTCTTCCATTGCTTCTGCTAGGCTTCCCCATCCTTCCCTTGCAGCAGCTTCTGCTGTTCTCTTTTCTCCTTCACAAACTCTGGCCCAGTCCCTGGTGTCATCCTCGTCCCACGTGCCTCCCCCAACAGAACGCAATGCCTCACACAGGAAGAGACGACGACGATCTCCCACAGTCCTCAGCATTCTAGGAGACGCCCAACCGCTGGCTAATGGATTGAGGAAGACTCCACCAGAAGAAGCTGTTTCTGCTGCAGTTATCAACCTTTCCTTCACTTCCTGTTCCCTCCCCTCTCCTTCCTCACACTCCTACTCTACCTCAGCTGTTCAGAACCAGAGTGCTGTCACATTAGATAATCATCATCAAAACCTCTCTGGGCAGATGCCCCGACGCTCTGCTCCTGGACCAACAGCACATCTTTCCAGGCCTTCTCGACCAAACGAGGCTCTGGATTTTACTACACCCACATCTCTCAGCTTGGATCCTCCAACTCAGCCTCTGTCTGCTCTGTTACACCTGCTCAGTGTGCAGACTGCACAGGCTACTGCATCCAACTCTGCTTTAGCTCAGTCTAAGACTGTACTTGTTGAAGGAAGTGGATACACAAATAAACGGAGCCCCACAGAGTTACCATCTTCTCCAATCTCAAGTTTTACTGTCGGCCACCCACAGACTCAATCCCCATGCCGAACAGATAACACTAATCCTCTATCTCTAGTTCAAAAACCACTTTCTTCCCCTCCCACCTCCACTCATTTCACAATATTACCATCTCACTCTCTTCCACCATCTACAAAATCAACTCCTTTACAAAGAGACCCTTCATGTACACTGCCACCAAAGTCAAATATAGTTTTTGGCAACATCAGCACCCCATCTCGGCAGATGTCCCAGACTCCTGTAGACAAAGATCAACCAACGCATAATGGTGTTCCCACAATAGACTCTGTTTCCCAGGCGTCATTACCAGAAGCCTCACAACATGAATCTGTGGCACTGGAGCGTGGTAGTAATAGCACATCATCATCAGTGGACCTGAGTCATTCTCAAGGCAGCATTTCGATTGGCATACCCTCTTCCCCGAAACCTCTGGATCTTAGTAACAATGTTCTGACCCTTCTCGCTACATCCTCCACTTTGACAAAGGGGGAGGGTATTTCCTCCCACCAAGCCGCTAATGTTGAGCGATCTTCTCCAGAAAATTGTATTTCAGGTAAGTTTTTTTTTTTCCCCAGTCTCAAGTGTATCGTTTATTTATACAAACTAAACTGACTATTTTAAAGTAACCAGATGTTTGATGTTTGGCAAGATATTAATTGTACACTTTCAGACAACAGAAGTAATTTGCTGTTGAGTCGAGCCATTAAGGTTTATAGATTGTAGTGCACTTTTCACCTAGAGTTGTTCTTCTGATTGTATTTTTTCAGTAGTTTATCACTATTGTTTCATAATTTACATGATGCTATTAAGTTTAATTATAGTGATCAGTGCTGTTCCAGAATAAAACTATGAATTTATCCTTTAAATGTATCATCCACTGTAAGACCTCTAAAATATGTGTTGCAGTTATTAAGTCAGTCTGAGCTAAATGTCACAATTTGTTTTCCAGCAGTACCAGAGGAATCTGAACATTTAGTCCCAAAGGTATCCACACTGACAAGCCCACCAGCACCTACTAGTCCTGCATTCAACATCTCCACCCATCAAGAGGAGAATCACAGTCCTCCTCACTCCTCAGCTGTGAGTGAGTCAGCTTCTCCGTTGCCTCTGGCAGAGGCCTTCCCCTTCATGAACCAGGAGCAGCTGCTTCAGCTGCTGTCATCTATTGGAGGTCTACCATCTCTCTTGGACCCCACAGCGTTGGCTTCATTACCTTTAGGGGGGCTGTGGTTGGGAGGGCAACAAGCACATATCCCTCTTACCTCTGTTTCACCACAACCACCACAGATTCTTGCAGAGCAAGACCAGTCAGAACAATCACATTTATTGATACAAGACCCACAGCAACAAACTCCAGATCAACAACAGAAGCAGCATCAGCTTAACAACAACCCACTGTTTCCCTTGTTGCCATTTTTGAGTGGTGCACAGGGGGAAGTACCACTGAACCTTCTGGGTCTGCTACACCCACTCCCAGCATCAGCCCCCTCTGCTGGACAGGAACCTGATTTAACTGAAAAATCAAGTCTTCAAGCTCTACTTATGGCTTCGATGTTAGTTGGGCAACAGCAGGCCTCTTTGTTACCTCTGTCAGCACTGGGTCAGTTGAACCAGTTCAGCTTGGAAGTTCCTATCCAACCATCACAACATATCCCTACCACACTGGAGGGCCTCGCTCTTGATAAGAACTCTGGCCTCCTGGATCCATCCACCCTCACTGGCTCAGGGCTCCTGGACATCGCCCCGGGTCTGCTTCCCATTACTGCTGGAGCAGAAAACCCCATCCAAGCCCTGCAGTCTCTGCTCCTTCCTGCTACTCTTCCTCCACCTGCAGCCTTCCTGTCTCTCAGCCCCACCCTGCTCACAGCTGCCCTGAGCTCTGCTGAGCTCCACACCCCTCCCAACTCCCAGTTAGTTTCTGCACATCATACCCAACCTCAGGTAGGCTCCCTGACTCCTGTATGTTTTCTTTGAGCTTATGCCAAATTCCCTAGAAAAACTTGTTTTAATTCCTTTACCTGCTCCAATAATTTCCCTGCATTAGTTGCTCAGTTTTCCTTAACAAACATTTTTAGACTTTTTTTGTTAATGTTGTTGGAATAGTTATGGTGTGGCTTAAAACACCTTAGTTTACACTTCTACAATACTTTATTTATATATTTTAAAAATGAAATATCATTTTAGTTTTCTGTATAAATGTGTTTACATGAAGGTTTTTATACTTGAGTTTTAATTGAACAAGTTTTTTTCTACCTAAGCTTGAATGTAGTATGGTTCACAGTAGGGGTGGGCGATATGGCTCAAATATAATATCGTGATATTTCAGAACATTCTGACGATAACGATAAATTTCGTGATGTAACAAAAAAAAACTGAAATCATAGTTATTTGACAAAATTAACTTAACATGTTGCTTTGCAGTATTGTATAAAATAAAAAATAAACAAGTGGTAATTTTACTGAAATTACTTTATTTGGTAAAGTATTCAGTCTCCAAGTATAAAAAATAAAAAAGATCCTTCTGTTATTTAGATGAAAAAGTCTACACAAAATATAGATCAATAAATCCACCACAAAAACTAAAGTGCAGGTGAAGTTTCCCAAAATAGCTAAATAAAATAAAGCTTAAGATCTGTTGAGCATAAATGTAACAAAATATATGCTGCCTTTAAATGAGCTATAACTTCCAGAATTTGTAACAAGGTGATCAGCTGACCCTGAAGCTTGTGGTGTTTCAGCTTCCTCTGTTCCTGCAGGAATGATTCATTTATTTCTCTGATGCTCTGTCTTTCATCACCTGACTCTGTTCTTGGTCCATGGACTATGAAACTAAGAGACAGACCTGCGCGTGTTTGTACCGGCAGTTTAGAGTGGGGGAGACGCAGCCTGCACCGGCAGCCCAGAGCGGAGAGAGAGAAATAAGACGAGTGTCAGCTTAGAGCGGGGGGAGGGAGACAGTTGAGTTGTCTGTAGCTGCAGTTTAGAGCTGGATGGAGAGACAGCTGTTGTTTGTTTTTAGCTTTTTAGCTAGCTAGTGCGCAACTGATTAGCGTTACACCAGTACCTACAGGTGTGTGTGGGGGAGGTGGGGGGGGGCGCAATTCAGTTTGGTTTTTCGGTGCTCTCGGTTCTGTTAAAGGGGCGGGGCGCCCCGATATATTACGTCATGAAATTAGCATATCATTTTATCATTTTTTTGCCCAGCCCTAGTTCACAGTTCCAATTTAGCTCTTTTTTGCAGAACAGTCATTGTGTTTGACTTTAAGCACAGAACGTAACAGTTTGTGTGCATTCTGCAGTCAGACTGCTTCCTACACATCTGTGCACTCCTATTTTTTGTAAGGACCGCTTACTGATAAGATGTTTTCCTCCCACTTGCTTTAAACTGAACAATCAAAAGTAAATTGAATGAATGTAAAATGGGAAAATGTATCTGAAATTGCACTAAAAACATTTTGTGATCTAACGTAGCGCTAAAAGACCAAGATTTTGTTAGAACACAATTGCTGCTCTTTTGATTAAAATTCTAATGCAAATGTGTCATTTTTCAGTCAGATTTTATGACTTTTAGACCTTCAGACAACAAAACTAATAATAGAAACATTTAAATAAGAGCATCTTTATTTTGAGTTATACTATAAGAATATATACAGTATAGGAAGAAAAATAATCAGAGAAAAATAAACAATGCAAAGAGCTCTCAAAAAGCACGTGGGACATAACGTAATGAAAATGCATACAACATGACTTCAACTACATTTTTAAACTTTTCAAGACTGGTTTGGAAATTAATAATAATTGAATGTAAACTGTTTCATTTCGGGTTTGTGCATTAAACGAAATTTTAAACTGTGTGAACTGAGATTTAAACCAGTTATTGTAAAGTGCGAGCATTCACAAGTTGTTTATCAACCAGACATTAGAATAAGAGAGCTATAATTGTTCCACAAGGAAAACCAACAGTACACGCATTTGGAGCGAGGAACAACTGTGCCAACGTATGAAAATAACAGAAAATAGGCACCACAAATGATTAAGTGCAGTAACGTAAAACTAGAATGTGGTTCTAATGTAACAAGCAATTATGTAATAGTAAATAATTAATAGTAGCTTAATAGTTTTTTTAAAAGAAACCTTAAATTGGTGTGTAGATTATTAGGGGATCCACCTGTGTTTTACTAAAAGTGTTAAAAAGGCCATTGATAAACAAAGGCATTTTTATATGTTAACATGTTTGTTTTATGAAATATTACTTAATTTATTACAATTTCTGGGGGATACAGCTGAAGCAGTTTGACTATTGTATAAAATTAATCCCAAAAAAAGAAATGGACTCCTCCTTTTAATTTTTTTTATTTAAAATATATGCAGTATTTGCCCATTGATTGACTCATTCTTTTTTCTGAAACCCCCAAACTGTGTTCCCTCGTGCTCTTCAGGTAACCACTGATGCTGGTGTTGACACCCTCATCCCTGTTTCTCTCCAAGGCAAGGACAACCCCATCCTCCAACAACTACTGCCAACTTTGCTTAATCCCTCAATATTAGGTGAGTTAGTGCCCCTCTTTAAATGCATTTTTATACAATATAATGCTTTACGTGAAAAATATGTTTTTGTAGGAGATCTTCCTGGAATCACGGGCCTTCATAACATAGGGATTGGAGCAGGTTCCATTCTCCTATCCCCAGTCCAGGCGTCTGCATTGGGAATGCTGCAAGGCCCTGATGGAGCCATCAACTTACTCAACAACATACAGGTGGGTAATTTGTCTGTCAGAAGCTAAAGTTTATCACAATGCATGTTAAATATTGTTTATTTTTGTTATCTTAGCTCTGCTAGTGCTACAACATTGTGCTCCTTCACAACACTCTGGAAACAAGCATTTTGTTCGTTAAGTGAAAATAGAAATGTTTTGTGAAAAGGATTAAAGTTTTGAGCAACTTTTGTTGAGCCAAAACCGGCTAAATTTTGACTTATTTCAAGCAGCAATTAAACATTTAACCTGCAGCTTCAGTAGACAAAAACATTTTTAACGATACAGATGGCAGTGCCAATAAAATCAGATGTCATCATAGAGTGAATATAAGAACTGGATCTAGTGTTTTGACTGAATTGAATCCAAACATGCGTTCTGTCCAGTAGTTTGTTGGTGGCACTTATTAGCAAAAGCATGTTTGTGTAGAAGTTTGAGGCAAAATATATCTGCTTTACAACCGATTGTATAAACCCTGGTAATCAAGTTTTACTGAGAAACTGTAGCATGTATGTATAATAAAACACATTCTGTGCTTTGCAATATTTCAGCTTTGAAACTGTGAGTAAAAGTGCTCCTAGTTGATGTTTTTGTTTCACTACTGCTAAAACAAAACAAATTTTCTCTGAAGCCTTGATTTAAAATGCATTTTATTCTAAAATTCTGAATTTTGAACGTTTAATGCATTTGTTTATTTATTTGTCTTTTTTGTTGTTCTCCAGCTGAACCTTGCACCAAATTCAGATGTAGAGAAACCAGGATCTTTTCAGGAAACTCAAAACACCGCGCCGCAGGAAGATATGCCAGCTAGTGAAATTTCTTCTGAACTCTCAAGTCCTGTTCCAACTCTGGTTTCATCTCCTGCCCGGCAGTCCACCCCACGCACAAACAGAGGATCTGAGGGTAGAGCTGTCATTGATCCTTACACGTCTTTTATGGACACCATTTATACCTCTTTCCTTCAAGTCAATGCTAAAGAGCAGGAAGATGGGGCCCAACTGAGGCCATCTGACCCTACGTCACCCTTCTGTGCCTTACCACCGGTTTCCTTCCCTCTGGACCACCATAACTCATCCACCGCTGTCCCAACCCTTCCCAAGGCAGGTGCCCCAGTCTCCCTCAGCCCACGCCGAGCATGTTCTCTCCGCAACCCAGACTTGTCGAGACTCAGCATGGAAGCAGCAGCTCACTCCCCAGCCCAGGGGACACCCAAACCCACAGAAGAAGGGCCTACTTCACCCTTACTGAGGAAACCAGTTATAGAGGGACATACTCATCTAGAGCCTCCCTTGCCACCCATATACTTGGAAGAAGCCAAGACAGACTGTACCAGTCCTGCTGCAGCTGTGTGTCCCTTTCTGGACACGGGGGTGGATAGGCAGGGACAACTTTCTCATGCAGGATACCTCAGTCCTAGAGATGGATGCAGTGGAATGTCGAATGAAGACAAAACTGAGACGATGATCAACACCGGGCAGGAAATGGTGAGTGATTAAGAGTTTTAGGAACTTAGATTTTGTATTAAAACAGTGGGTCAGCTGATTCACTTCTGAGAGATAAATTAAGTATAATGTTCTTGTTTTAATTACTGTTTCTATTTGTCAAGGATCAAGCAGGTGGAGCCAGAAGAGGAAGGAAAAGAAAACAAACGTAAGTTACTCTGTCAAAAGTTCATTTTCCAGACATGCTGTAGACATTCTTCACACAGTCCTGTTTTAATAAACCAGTGTTCAGTAAAACCCTGTTGACTCAGAAGGATTTATATTTTTGTGATGTTTCGAACAGCTGACGTATGAGATGGATTTCCCTGAACAGTACGTGTTGTTGATGTGTTTCTTTCTTCATTAGGCTACAAAACGTGTTAGAAGACTTTAGAGACATGGATGCTACAACACTAGATGAAACCAAGGCTACAGTAAGATCTACATTCACCTCTTTGTAACATACAGATCTGTTTATTCATCCTATCTTACCAGATTTACCTACATTTTTAAAGTACACAAAACAGCTGTACGCCTGGTTTTAAGAGCTGAAGAAAAATAATTACAGGTATAAGAAAAGTTAAGGAAATTGTTAATAGAGTATTTTGTTGAATTCCTTTTGTTATCTGGTATACCAGTTTTCATTTTTATTAATTATTGAAATTTAATATATTTTTTGAGTTGTTGGAGATTGTAAATTATGTCTGATGTGATCCCTTATACCAGGGGTCTGCAACCTGCAGCTCTGGAGCCACAAGTGGCTCTTTGGTCCATCTTCAGTGGCTCGTTCAAGCTTTGACCAAAGTTAACATAAAACTAAATTTGATTGGTTGTTGTACAAAAATAAAAAAGGGTCGTTTTGACAGTCTTCCTGTCTTTTTTTTTTTTTAAACATGTGAATAATAGAACAATACAAAGAGTAAATCATACTCACTTTATGCTTTATCTCTTCAAAGTAGGATACTTGATTTTTCCACAATGAAAACTCAAATCATCAACCTGCATAGTTCATTGTTTAAATTTTTACAAAATTGTTAAAATCTATATTTTTATTTTCTTTCTTTACAACAATCCAGTCTTTTATTTTGTCTTAAAATGTACAAATATCAAATGTTAAAAATCATTTGATGTTTTTTGTTTTATAAAGTTATTCCTGGCCAGAAAAGCCCCCTCCAAAAAACTTCAAGTGGTCCACGGGCCACCAGTTGATGATCACAGTTGTACCAGATTGTTGTGGCTCCAGACACTTAATTTAGTGAACAAAGGGGCATCAATGGCTCATTTTCATAAAGATTGCAGATCCCTGCCCTGTACTAAAATAACTGCAACACTATTTCCACAAACTCTTTTTTTCCATCAGCTTGGTAGACTGCTGAGGACGTGTATTATGCAGCTTTGATTTCAGTGGATCTTGGAAAAGTGGCTGTAAAGAACCATACCAGAATCAGCTGTTTTGAGCTGAAATGCTAGCCCTCATATTTTCAATATATTTTAAACACAATGAAAGTTTATCTCAATTGTAGGGCTGAACAATTTAAGAAAATATTCTAATTGTGATTTTTTTTTTTTTTACCTCAGTATTGCAATTCTGATTTAATATAATATTTAATATGGTTTGATTATTTTTCCTCATGTATTTTTCAACAAACACAAGCAATAAATCAGTTTGTTTTATTTGCAAAAAACTCCACTGTTTTCAGCTCCGCTGCAACTCCGTTTCTGCATTTTTTTGTGTGTGTAGCTCCAGGATAGCAACTTGGCTAAAATGTGTGCATGAGGGCATTCTGTACCGTTTATCCATTGTGTTTACCAAAGCTGTAAACCCGGGCTTGGTCACTATGTTAATGGGCATCATGTCTTTCGTTTTGAACTCCGTTTTTGCTCGAATTATTTCCACATGCCGTTTCGAATTTTGTTCATACGGAGTAATACCTTCGAACAGTTTGGTCAGTGATCCCTGTCGGGCTGGCACTTTGCTTACTTGAAATTGAAGCACTGGTTGTTGGCATTCTAGCCATGCAACTATCATAAATGGCTTCGTGGTGTTTGTTTTTTTAAGGTGGTGTTACCTCGAGAGGTAGCAACAGCAGCAAGGCAGGTTCTGCACAACACATGTTGTTGCGCAGCGTCTTCTTTTTTTATAGCCAAAATAATTCCAAACCTGCTGCCTCTCTTTGGTACCAAACTTTCAGATGTATCAGTTTCTGTCGAGCCTGACGCCATTGTGCAACCGGTTAAAGCTCAGTGTTGACTTCTCTCACTCCCTGCTCTGCTTTGCTCCACTCTCTCGCAAGTCATGTAACCAGATCACGTGACCAGTCAAATCGCAGCCTTTGCGATTAGAAAATCTCACTTTATCATATCGCGATATTATCGCAAATGCAATTAATTGTTCAGCCCTATTGTAGTGGATGAAAACTGAGTTTAAAAGTCTATTTTTTTATCCTTTTTTCTATTGGTGTTTATCCAGAACATTAAAGGCTACATAAAGGGTTGACTGGGCAGGAATGTTTTTACTCCTTGGAGAAATGTGGGAACGCTTGTGCACCTCTGTCTGCAATTGTAGTCGTCGTACATCTGTGAGAGGAAGAAATGAACCTTATGTGACTTTAGGTTCTCTCCTGTTGCAGGCAGCACTCCTGAAGCCCGAGAGGTCTGTGCGTGGCAGGCGGAGACGAGGCACCAGGTCACAAAGGCCGTGATTGGTGGAAGAGTCATTCACCAATGACGCCTCTATCCCCCACCCATCTCTCTGCTCTCATCACTACTGTTTTAGACCTTTAAAAGAAAAATCACCTGCACTAAAATTATGCTGTTGTTGTGTCAACTATTACTATGGCAACCACTATTAAGGAAAAAAAAAAAACATGCTTAGGAGAAAGATATAGTCAGATAAATTTATTTTTAAAAAGTGAAGAAATGAGATTTTGTGGATACTAGATTTTCTCTTAGGTTATAAAATGATTTCTGAACATTGTGATCAAAGATCTTTCGATTAGGTTGGTGTTAGAATTGTATCAATGAAAAGCAGAGTAACAAACGAGTACTGTTTTTTCTTCTCATCGGTGTGTTACTTATGAGTCAGGATAAAGCCCGTTTACTTGAACGATGCTCTCTGTTGAAAGTGTGTTGATTAGTGCGTCTTTTTGCGTGTTTGTTTGTGTGTTGGACAACAGTGCTGTTTCTGAGCCCCTTCTGTCTGACTGTCAAATTAATTTTTGTCTCGGGGAAGGAGAACTTGTTCTTCTTTGCTGTCGTATTTTTGGAGACAGTGTTCGTATTGAAAAGCAACATTTTTAAGGTTTTTAGAAAGTGCTGAAAGAGAAAGGAGATGAGACACTTTTTATTTTTTTTCTTAAAAGTGTGACGTGAACTCAAAATTTGCCACGTTAAGGAAACTGAATTGTGTCAGACTTCTTTGGCGTTTCACACCAGTCACATAAAAACGGATTTTGTATCCCAACTCCTTTATTACTTGTAAGATGTTTATTATCGATGATAAACCAATGTTCTTCTGTACAACTTTAAATTGCAGGTCCTCAAATGTTTTCTTCGATGACTGAATTTGTGTTATTTGTAATCCACATGAAATCTGGAACACCTCTTGTAAGAGCAGATTGCCTCAAATCTGCATCCTTGTTACATTTCACACACTGTCTAAATGATTACATGTAGCATCAGATGGATGTTTTAATTAGGACCCACTCCCAGCTTCTCACCCTCCAGCTACAATTTAAAGTCAAAGGGGTTGATATTTGAATCTGAACATTTGCACAAAACTTGAGTTTATAGGAAGTACTGTATGTCCTTTTGATTGGTTGAATGGTTTGTAGGGATTCTTACGCAGAGTGATGACGTCTTATGTTTATCTGTTGAGTTTGTGTGTTTCTGTGGATGTGGGAGTGATGACCTCTTCCCTGTCTCCTCCTATCAGTTTCTGAGCCCTCTTCCTCACTGCCCTGCCCCATGAATTTTGGCATCTCTAGCTGTATTTAAAATAAAAACAAATTAAGAAAACTGAAAAGGAAAGCAGATTATGCAATTTCTATACTTGGAAATTTGTATATATGTACAGTTAATGTGTTTGATTTTATATTGTCAGAGCAAGACAAGAGAAAACAATTTTTTTTTCTTGGAATTGTAATTATTTTTCTTATTCTACCCCTTTGGTTTCAATACTTATGTTTAAAAAAGATTAAATTGTGGACTGTAGCGTTCTTTTTATATGGAGTCATTTTTTATTTAATATTAAACTATTTACACAAAATGCTTTTTGTGTTGATTCCTGTTTATTATTGGATGTGATCATGATAATAGAATACTCTTAGGCTTCATATTGTGCTGCATCACTGGTTTTAAAGTCGAAGCTCAGTTATCTACATGTATAATATTTCTGTAACAACTTAGAAAAAAAACAGTTCCTAATTAATTTTACACGGCACAGCTTTTCTACACTTTGCAGTAATTAATTAAAACATTTAAGGCAATTCATTTTAGACTGCAGTTTTTACAACATTTATGGTATTTGGTTTTTGGTGGTGGTGCAACTTTTCTAGTGTTTACAGTAAAATCCCTCATCTAGCCTGCTGTTTTTTATTTTTATTTTGTCTTCAAGGAGAAGCTGCCAGTCCACTTAGGGGTTCAAACCTGAAAAGAAAGAAAAAATTAAAACCAGCATAGCGGCCACTAAATTTAAATATTTCTGTTATGGACCACTGAGAAAAAAAATATTTAGGGCAAAACTCGCTGAACTTTGATAGAACACCACTAATGTATATAGTAATTTACTGTTTTCCTGTGCAGGATGTGACGTCACATGGCGGTTAGGCTCTGGTTAAGGTGCCGCTATGACGCTATCAAGAGAGCGGATGTAGACCACGCCCTTCCGCGGACCGCCGCTAGAGGGCGCTGTTTGTACCGGAGCGAGCCGAGCAGCAGCTTCACTGCCCTTCCTGCAGCATCTCACCTTCAACCGGCCACACGAACCTCCGCCGACGCCCCTGAAGGAGAGCAACGGGAGACATCGCGGACAAAACAGCGCCCACAAACACAGGAGGAAGCGCGCAACACCCGGCCTCGCTGCTTTAAATTCGCCTGTTTCGCCATTTGACACCTAATTTCAGCCTGTCCGCCTCACTGCGACACAGAAACCCCGACCAGCTGCGCATAATTACATTTTCTCATCTTGTCAGGACTAAACTTCTCCGTCCACCTCGAAAGAAGAAGAAACCAGACATCTCTGCAGCTCTCCTTTAATCACATTTTAACAGTCAGGTCGGGCCTTTCTGATTGCCTCCAGCATCAGCAGCATCTTCTTCCTCAGCATCCTCCTCCTCCTCCTTGAATCTGCGCAATGGCCGATACTCCAGCGGAGTGCAATATAAAAGTGCTCTGTCGCTTTCGCCCCCTCAACCAGTCGGAGATCGTACGTGGAGACCTGTTTTTACCCAAATTTCAAGCAGACGACACTGTCATCGTCGGGGTAAGTGAAGGGGGGCGCTTTGTTTTGCACCCCCCTCCCTCCTTCATCAATAAAACATTAGCTCGACCCATCTGTTTGGGACATGTCACACCCTAAACCTGGTTTCTCTGGCATGATGAAGCTTAAATATTTTGTGAAAATGCGCGCATTCATTTGCCTCCTGCATCAGCTGATCTGTAAGCTCGTGCACGAGGCTTACAGGCCCATCATGAAAAAAAAAAGTGGATTTTACACATGATGGAGCTTGGTGGTCATTTAAAACAAACGTCTGAATAAAAGTTAAATATTTGGCATCCAAAAATAATCTAGAGGCGCATTTAATCCACTCTGGATGAATTTCAATCAAAATAACATGAGCACTGCCAAAGTATTTTTAGTACACAATACAAGAACGCACTTATTTTCTATTATGGTAGTATTAAAACCTATTCTGGTGCTACAGAGAATCTGTGTCTAAATGTTAGTAATGGAGACAGAAATGTTAGATAATACGGATTTATAAACTGACTTTTCAGACACAGTTTAAAACATCTTTGTAAGAATTCAATCCAAACCAAAGATAAATGCTCTGTGACTAATGAGTAATCCTGGATTTTATTTCATGTTTTACAATCAGATTAACTACTGTCATATACTAAATAGTTTTGTATAACACTACCAGACATTTCAGGCTTCATGTTCAAAATGAAAACATGGCAAATTTGACTAATAATAGAATCTTCAGAAATATATTTTTTTACATTTATTTTAAGCTTGCAGCTTTGTTTATTCTGCATAAAATGATATAACAGTTGTTAAGAAACAGATCACAACCATCAGTTATTTGAAGATGTAGTGGTTTGTTATTTAGCAGTTCGATAGTGAAGTATCTGAATTGCTTCTTAGCTCGATTAAAGAATAGCAAAGTTGTTTATTCGTGTCAGAAAAAAATTTACTAATCCAAATCTCATTATGGTAAATGAGACCAAACAATGTATCATATGTCAATTTATTCACCTGCTGTGAAAGCAAGAAGCTGAAAAATAACATTTTCATCTTATGTGTGCAGCTGGTTGTCCAATCTTGATTCAAGTTTTATAAATGATTCATAAAAACATTTAATTAGAATACAAGGCCAAATGTGTGCGGGCTAGTTGGTTCAGATGGTCTTTAAATGTAGCATGCATGAGGAAACCGTCTGTAGTGATGGTGCAGACATCATCTCCTGACCTTCCTCCTCCCTCTGAGCATCAGCACAGTCAGAAACTGATCTCTCTAATTGCCTGCAGAGAAGATCAATAATCATTCAGATAGCTCACATTACTTCCTGACCTGGTTTCTCTCATCTCTGGTTCCATCAGTCTGTCTTCCTTTATGGTTTGAATACTCTTTTCTTGTCTTGTGATGTTTTCCCTCTCAGTCTTTCCATGTTTCCTTCATCATGTTTTGTTGAATTCCTGTTTCATCCTTGTCTCCTATCTCTCTTTCTCATTCTGGGATGGAGCATCTCTCCCAGATAAATCACTCTGGCATGGGGGCGGCCTGCAGATGAGTCAATTTGCTAATGACAATTACTCCATCTCATTTACTGGCAGCTGACGTTATCATCACGCAGGCAGGACATTCAGGAGTGACTGTAGCGATGCTTGCATGACCGCATGCTTACCTGTACAGACCTGCTTTAAAATAATCATATCCCATTATTATTATTTATGGTTCAATTTGCATTTAACCTAAAATAAGTTATATATTTCAGGGTTATTGTTTCACTTCAAGGTTACCTTAAACACACAATTTTGTGTTAGTATAAAAATAACATTTGCAGTTTGTTTTTCACAGCTCTTGCTCAGAACAATTCTTGTTAACTCTTGCCCAATAAAACAAACACCACCCTTAGGAACACAAACAGTGTTTGAATTTATAATTTAATAATGGTTCAGAATTTTGAGGTGTGTATCTACAATTAAATGTCATGTCAATCAAAAAGTTTAAATTTTAGCTGTCAAAGTTAATGACTGCTTGTGTGGCCGACTTCTTAAACACAACAAAGTGTTGCCTTTTTACCTGAGTTTAAGCTTTTGAGTGCAATATTAAAAAAAAAAAAAAAAAAAAAAAAAATATATATATATATATATATATATATGTATATTTTTTTTAAATAAACTGCATGAACTGCTAAACAAACTTTAGTCATGCATGTAAAATCTGCCTATGCTAACCGTTTAGCTTTAAACGTATTTACTGTAATGAAGTCTTAGCAGAAAATGTGTAAAGTTACCAAATTTTGTAATGTATTTCTGATTTGAGCAAACTTTAGTGAAAGAACAGTTAGTCTGTAAAGCTTGATCATATTTACACCTTCAATCATTTCATACAGGCCACTTTATAGCACCTTACTGGATACAAAGATATTAACAAAAAGTCAGGATCTTTTTTCAAACTTTTCTCACATATGATTTATTGTTAGTCATAAAAATAGAGTATAATGTACTTTAATAGCCTTGGTCAGGTACCTGAGGTTGATAGTTCCCCAATGAAATATGTATACAGAGCTCTGATTGGCTGTAATAAAATAAATAAATAAACCCAATGCACCATTTTTCTCTGCCTGCTAAAGTTATCTTTTTATTTTGCGTACTTTTTAAAAGAAACATTATTGATTTGTTTTTACTTATATCATCATTTGATTTTCTTTAGAAGAACGCTATTCAAATTATGTCTTTTGTTCAAATATCATGTCATAATTAATGCAAAAAGCCGCCTGTAGTAAACTGACCACAGACATTCATTAACAAATGAACACTGTGAAGTTAAAGTGCTGGTTAATTTGTTTTTTGTTATTTGTACTCAGCAAGCACCCCTTCGTACTTGTGTGCTTACCACGTAGTTTGTGTCCTTGTCCAGGGTTAAGGTTAGGAGTATAGGGATATTTATAGAGGTATGCCAGGGATAGGTTTTATATGTTAAAATTAGAGGCTATAGAGTCAGGGCTATAGGGATGTGGTAAACATCAACCTATAGAAGGTATTAATAACATTACTGTACCATAAATCATCAACAATGGAGCAGCTTTCAAGGTGGGAACAAAGTTGAGTTACAGACAGGAAGTGGGCATGAAGAGACATGTCTCTGAGTTTGTACTCTTGAAAGTATTTGTGTTTACTGACCAAATCTGCAAAAGTACAAAGTGGTCAAAGTAAAAATAAATTCCAAACAACAAGGTTATCGACAGACAAATTGGATGCCTAAAGTTTTAACCAACCGACAACCAAACAAACCAAACCCAGCCAACTAACTAAACCATCAAACCAAACCAACCAACTAAACAACTAACCAAACAACCAACTAGACAACTAATCAAACAACCAACAAACCATCCAACCAACCAATTAATCAACTAACCAAACAACCAACCAGACAACTAATCAAACAGCCAACAAACCATCCAACCAACCAATTAATCAACTAACCAATCAACCAAACAACTAATCAAACAACCAACAAACCAAACCCACCAACTAATCAAATAACCAACCAAACAACCAACCAGACAACCAACCAAACAGCCAACATACCAAACCAAACAACAGAACAACTAATCAGACAACCAACCAATCAACCAACTACCGGTAACCAACTAATCTATCAACCAATCAACAGAACAACTAACCAACTTATCTACCAACAAACCAACCAATCAATCAACCAAATGAACAACTAATCAGATAACCAACAAACCAAACAACCAATCAACCAACCAAATCAGACAATCAACAAAACAAAACAAACCAACTAACTAATCAAACAACCAACTGAAAAACTAATCAAACAAATAAACCAAACCAAACCTATCAATTAACTAAACAACCAACCAGTCAACAGACAAACAAATAAATAAAAACATATTCCACGTGCTGTTTAATTCAGCCAAAATTGCATAAACCTTTAGATACTTTTTAATTGCTAGACCAAGAAGAGCTGTGATCTTTTGTTTATGGCTCATAACAAAGATAATGAAAAATTATTTGTAAACATTATAAAAATGTAATTTTCACTTGTTAATTTATTTTGTCAATTTGTGCGCATCCTTTCTTTTCTTTTTATTCATTCAACCTTTATTTATAAAGGTTAATCCTATTGAGCCTCGGGGACTCATTTACAAGTGAGACCGGATTTTAACAAAGAGTGATGACAACACAAAGACAATAACAGACAATCATAAAGGTCTCAGGTCTCTCTTGTAAATGAGTCCCCGAGGCTCAGTGGGATTAACTTGTATAAATAAAGGTTGAATTAATGATAAAAAGGTCATAATTGAGAAGACACTTATTGCACTGTATAATTCTTCAATTTGGGTTTCAGAGAGTCTGAGTAGACCACACTGTTGCACACTTCAGTAAGTAATAATAATGTTTACCAAAGGGGATGACAGAAATTAGTGAATTTAGATGAGTACATTTGTTGTGCTGTGACATGCTGTAAATATGAGTCATTGTCAAGCAGCGGATGATTTAATGAGTCGAGGATTACATCATTGGGCTAACATCATTTCCCAAATTCCACACTGACGGGCATTTGTTTAGAATATTCATTATTTTGCATTTTTTCACAGATTGTAACGGAGCTGATTAGAATTAGTTGCTGATTATCGTGATTTCAATTCCCTCGATGTAAAAAGTGCACATTTTAAATACAATTTTATCATTTTTGTTTACGATTGTCACAGGGTAAGCCGTTTGCGTTCGATCGCGTGTTTCCAACCAACACCACCCAGGAGCAAGTTTACAACACCTGCGCCAAGCAAATCGTGAAGGGTACGTTTAAAAAGATCAACGAGTATAAATATTATGGAGCGTATGTAAAGATTCTTGGTTCTTTTGTTTATTTTTTGCTCACAGATGTGCTCAGTGGGTACAATGGCACCATCTTTGCATATGGACAAACCTCCTCTGGGAAGACTCACACCATGGAGGTACAACTTTCAAAACATAGACACAAAGATTAGTTTTTGTCTATTTTTAGAATTTTATAGAAAAATACTTAATGTTGGCAGTTTGGCTGCTACAGTCTGAAAGTGTTAACATTTGTTATGTTGGGGCCAAAACAAATTCTTGTTTTTGTTGTTATAATGGCTCCTAATGTCTTTTAATTTAAAACATATTTGATGTAATGATAGGAGCATTATTGCATGAGGTATTGATATGAAACTTTTATGTTACAAACTTATCTGTGTTAATCTGTTGCAGGGTAAACTGCACGACCCTCACCAGATGGGCATCATTCCTCGCATCGCTGAAGATATTTTCAACCACATCTTTGCCATGGATGAAAACCTTGAATTCCACATCAAGGTGCATAATATGACAAATTATATGACAGAAGTCTTGTTTTGTATATTTTACTTTTCATATATGGGCTTTATTTGGACATTTTTGATTTCATATTTAAAAATAGTTTTATCCCATTTACTGTATGTATCTTCAGACTTATTTGCTTTAAATACAAAAAGTAAAAATGTTAATGTTTCTTCTACAAAATTTCATTAATTCTTTTTCTTATATCATTTGTTTCTTTTGTCTAACAGGTTTCTTACTTTGAAATCTACATGGACAAAATCCGTGACCTCTTGGATGGTTAGTGTTAAACAAACTTTAAGCCAAAACAGTAATTTGCTCGCACTTTCCCCACCACATTTTTGTACATTTTACGATTTTTTAATCAATTCTAAAATGCCAGCTCATTTACAAAATATTGATATTTTTATGTTTTTTTCTGTGTTTTAGTGACAAAGACCAACTTGTCTGTCCATGAGGATAAGAACAGAGTGCCATTTGTTAAGGTTTGTTATTAATTTGTTGTCGTTTTGGATGAACCGTGGGCTGAAATCTGTCAGACATATTATCAGACCCATTTTTCTCTCCTCTCCTCAGGGATGCACCGAGCGCTTTGTCTCCAGCCCTGATGAAGTTATGGATGTGATCGATGAGGGCAAGGCTAACCGCCATGTTGCTGTGACCAGTGAGTTCTGTGCTGGACTTTAGATTCAGCAAACACTAGAAATTAAAACAGAAAATGGGATGTTTATTATCTTTTTGATCACTTCCCCACAGTTATGTGTATTTAAATATTATCACATTATTCCAGCCTAAAACACAGTTTGTGATTAAATAAGACAACACTACATGTTTACAAGAACTAAACCAATATAATTAATAAAAATAAATGAAAGCTGTGTCCTCAGTGACGGAGTTGTTATAAAACTTAAAGAAGCAAAACATTAGCTAAAAGTTAAAGGAGAAAAACACTAGGTAAAAGTAAAATTAATCCAAGTTTAGCTTAAAGCTAAAAGTAACAAAAGGCTAGTTGAAAGATAAATGTGACAAGTCTTGCTAAAGCAATCAAAACAGTAATTAGAAGTTAAAAGGTAGCAGTAGGCTAACTAAAAGTCAAAAGTATCAAAAGTATAATTAAAAATAGAAAAAGGCTACCTAGAAATAAGTAGTAGCTGAAGGTTAATTAAAAGCTAAATATAGCAAATGCCAGCTAAAAGCCAAAAGTATCAAAAGGCTATAATATAAAGCTATAAATGGCAAAAGGCTAGCTAAAAGCCAAAAATAGAAAAAAAACTAAAAGCCAAAAATAGCAAAAGGCTAGCTAAAAGCAAGAGGCTACGGTAGCTAAAAGCTAAAAGTAGCAAGAGGCTAGCTAAAAGCTACAAGTAGCACATGGCAAGCTACAAGCCAAAAGAAGCAAAAGACTAGCATAAAGCTAAAAGGCACAAAAGGCTAGCTAAAAAAAGCTAAAAGTAGCAAAAGCCTTGCTAAACACTAAAAGTTGCAACAGGTTAACTAAAAGCTAAAAATAGTGCATGGTTAGCTAGAAGCCAAAAGAAGCAAAAGGCTAAAAGTAGCACAGAGCTAGCATAAAACTAAATGACACAAAAGGTTAGCTAAAAGCTAAAAGTTTGCAAAAGGCTAGCTAAAAGTCAGATGTAACAAAAAGCTAGTTTAAAGATTTTGAAAATTATAAACATTACAAAAATGAAAAGTCATAGCACACATCTCCTGAATGGGCTGAATATTTAGATTTATGAACTGGTTTAAAAAGCAAATTAAGTAAATAAATAAAAGGAAAACCATAGTGCAGTGCTAAAATAATAATCATACCAAGAATAAAAACAAACTTTAGTACTGGTGGTGACAATTTGGATCATAATAAACACAACTTTAATCCTGTGATTATGCTCATTTAAGCAAATATTTTTCTGTTCAAATGTGTCTTATATTTGTGCCAGATGTGACCCGCTTTGGTTTCGCTGAACACATTTTAACAACAAATTTTATATGGCAGCAGAAGATTCTTTAAAAACCCAAAAAAAATTTCCTCTGAGAGCTGTTCCCTTCCAAACAAGTATAATAAATTAATTCATTTCTTGTAGCTTTCTTGTGACCCTTGTGCCAACGTGCAACAATAAAATCAAAGGCAGACCAGACCAAAGAAAGCGTTAGATCAGACGAGCTTTGGGATTCAGTGGTGCCGCACTGTCATAAATCTTAACTTATAAAGAGACCTATTTATCTAGAGTTTCTCAGCTCTGTGTCTACTTGTCTTCTTTCCTTTTGTATTTTGATTTTGGCCTTTTTCTTTAGCAAAGTGATTGATTTTCACTCTCTGTAGTTGTCAGAAAAAGCTCCTGCTCGGAAACTTTTTGCTCACAAATCCCAGCAGATAAAAGAAACTGACTCTGAAAGGGGCTGCTTGAACTAGAAACATGTTAAATGTCCCACAGTTTTTACACCCATAGGAACTCCACTGAAGCCTGTTGTTGCATTCAGTCTGAAAGTAGTTTGATATAAATGATCTAGTCTTATTTAACATATTGAACTGGAATGAAATGTTGATCTTTAGAGGTTTTCTTACAGTTTGAACATCAACATTTGCTTCTCACAGACGGTCTTCACTTCACAAAGTTCTTAATGAGGATTTCTTAAACTTAAATGGTAATATCATGCATCAACCTGAGTCAGAACCAAAAATAAGTTGAAAACACTGTTTGTGAAAATAGATTTTTTTTAAAGGGAGTAGAGTCCATAATAAAATTTGAAGACCAGCAACAGAAAACCTGATCAGAACTTTTATTTAGTTATTCTCAAGCAACATTTTGTTCACTCAGAGCTATACACAAACATATAGAAACTTGTTTATTTACAATTTAAGTGAACTGGTGGGTGTAAAGTTTGTACTTTGTTTTTACTCCCAAATAAAATTCTACAAAAAGCTCATGTAAGTTTGATAAAACTGAAAAATATTTCTCATTGATAGTAAAATATGTGTCTGACTCATTATCAAGCAGCAGCTTTTGCTCGGTTTAAGCATGAAGTCTTTTTGCAAAGTTATTATAAATATTTATTTTATCTTTATGTTGCATCACGTTTAATACGGTATGCGTTGGAAATCTGTAAGCGCTTCAACATAATGGTACAGAAATTAAAAAGATGCGTTTAAAAAAAAAAATAATATGAAGATCAGATTATCTATAAAACAAATTAGATAGGATGCTTCCTCTATAAAAAATAAAGTATTCTGCTCTAATTTAGAATAGAATAATACAATTGAAAAACATATTTTGACTTTCTTTCTAACAACTCGTCCAAGAAAGCTGATGGTGTGTAGATGGCTGGCAGTAGTTCAGATATGCTGAAAGCTGCATTCCGTAGCAGAACAGCATTACAGTATTTGTTTTCCAGTTGATGGCTGCTGACTCACCGTTCTGCAGAGCTGTGTGCTGATAACGGCCTAATGGAGCTACAGTGAGCAGACGCTGAGCTGATGCCCTCAGATATCATCCGCTGAGAGGCCCGACCGTTCCCTCCTGCAGGAGGCTCCATTAGCAGATTAATTTAGTGGAGTGTTGCTTATCCTCTACATGCTGTGAAATGGTCCGTCCCTTGACTGTAACATCGGCTTCTTTAGTCTAACAAGTGCAGAACATTTAAAATGACTAGACGTGAATAAGCTACTCATGGTGTGTTTTCTTCTTCTTCTTCTGGCTTTTCCCTCTTCAGGGGTCACCACAGCGAATACTCCTCCTCTATATCACTCTGTCCTCTGCGTCCTCTGTCCTCACTCCAACTACCTCCATGTTCTCTCTAACTGCATCCATATATCTCCTCTTTGTCTTTTTCCTGGCAGCTGCATTTCTTACATTCTTCTACCAGTATACCCGCTGTCCCTCCTTTGGACATGTCCAAACCATCTCAGTCTGACCTCTCTAACTTTATCTCCCAGTTGTTCAACCTGTGCTGTACCTCTGATGATCTAATTCCTAATCTTATCCATCCTTGTCACTCCTAAAGAGAACCTCAACATCTTCATTTCTACCACATCCAGTTCTTTCTTCATCTTTTTGTCAGTGCCACTGTCTCCAGTCCATACAACATGGCTGGTCTCACCACTGTCTTGTAAACTTTTCCTTTGACCTTTTCTGCTACTGTTTTGTCACAAATCACTCCTGAAACTTTTCTCCATCCACTCCATCCTGCCTGGACTCTCATTTTCACTTTATTACCACATTCCCCATTTTCTTGGACAGTGGACCCCAAGTACTTGAAGTCCTGCACCTTTGTGACCTCTTCTCCTTGTAGCCTCGCTGTTCCACCAGCCTCCCTCTCATTCACACACATGGACTCTGTCTTACTACGGCTGACTTTCATTCCTCTTTTTTCAAGTGCATACCTCCACCTCTCCAAGTTCTCATCTACCTGTTTCCTGTTCTCACCACAGATCACGTCATCTACAAACTTCATAGAGCTTTTTTTTTTTCATTTTCATTTTCAAGCATGAGGATTCCTGCCTGACCTCATCTTGGTCCATCTGCAGAGCAAACAAGAAGGGGCTCAGAGCTGATCCTTGATGCACTCCCACCTCCACCTTGAAGTTATCTGTCACTCCACCCAATCTCCCATACAACTCTTTGTACACCCTCTGCTTTGCCTTAGCTACTTCCCTCTTTGCTCTACGTTGCATCTCCTTATACTCCTGTCTCCTCTCTTTAGTCCTCTCACTGGCATATTTCTTCTTGGCTAACCTCTTTCTTCTTTCTTTGAATAGCTTCTTGCACTTCACTATTCCACCACCAGGTTTCCTTGTCTTTTCTCTGTCCAGATGACACACCAAGTACCTTCCTACCTGTCTCTCTAATTACTGTTGCTGTAGTAGCCCAGTCATCTGAAAGCTCTTTCTTACCACACAGAAACTTTACCAGCTCCTCTCTGAACTCCTCACAACATTCTTCCTTCCTCAGCTTCAACCATTTGGTCTTCTTCTCTGATTTTAATCTTGTTCTCTTTTTCACAACAGTCATTTTACACACAACCATCCGATGCTGTCTGGCCATGCTCTCCCTTATCACAACCTTACAGTCCCAAATTTCCCTCAGGTTTCCTCTTCTACACAGAATGTACTATTAATCAACCTGCATACTTCTGTCTCCATTCTTAAAGGTCACTCTATGTTCCTCCCTCTTTTGGAAATATGTGTTGACTACAGCTATTTCCATTTTCTTGACAAAATCTACCAACATCTGTCTTTCCTGGTTTCTTTCCTTGATACCAAACCCATCACTTCCTCATCCCCTCTGTTTCCTTCACCAACATGTTTTTTCAGGTCTGCTCTGATCACCACTCTCTCCTCCCCGGGATTACTCTCTATCACTCATCCAACCTGTGGATCATAACCACTGACAACATTTAGCATTAGCCCTTCTACTTCCACCTTCAGGCACATCACCCTATCTGACACTCTTTTCACCTCTACTACTTTCTTTGCCAACTCCTCCTTCAGGACCACCCCAACTCCATTTCTCTTTGTATCCACACCATTAAAACGCCTTGTATCTGTGACTTTCCTTCCCTCAATTGATTACGGTGACATTATTTACATGAACGCTCCTACAAGAACCTTGCAGATGTTGGATGCTGTCTATCATGGTGCACTAAGATTCATAACTGGTTGTGATTATCGTACCCACCACTGCACCCTGTATTCACTGGTTAACTGGACATCATTAACTTCACACAGACTCTCTCACTGGTACATTTTAATCTTTAAATCACTTCTTGGTCTGTTGCTTTCATACATCTCCTCCTACATGTCTCTGCGTGAGTGCAGCTACGGAGTGCACTCTCAGGACATTATTACCTGCAGTGTTCCCTCAATGAGGACTGAACTAGGCAAAAGGGCCTTCTCCTATTCCGCTCCTGTTTCCTGGAATATCTTACAAAAAGATTTGAAGCTCTCGACCTTGACCTCTCTAAGTGTCTTTAAGAATCTGTTGGACACCTGGCAGGGACCAATGCAGACATGTTCCTGTTGTTAGTTTTCTACATTTGTTTTGGAATCTAGCTGTTTTTTGTTTTGTTACCTTTTCCTTTTAGCCATCCTATTTGTTAAAAAAAAAAAAAAAAACCTGTAGTATGCTTTTTTTATAACTGTTTATTGTTGTTGCTGTTGTCCATTGTTGTCATCTTTCTTTGTTGAAACCAGGTCTCACTTGTAAATGAGTCCTCGAGGCTCAATGGGATTTACCTGTATAAATAAAGGTTGATTGATGGTAAAACAGTTTAAACCCTGCTTCAATGCTGGGAGCCTTGCTGCCCTTCCACTTGGTCTCTTGGACACATAAAACATCTACCTTCCTTCTCTGCATCATGTCATCCAACTCTTTACCTTTGCCTGTCATTATTCTCACATTTAGAGTTGCCACAATCAGTCCTACATTCTTGACTTTCCTCTATTCTCTCTGTCTCTTGACACGTCTCCTCATGGTCTTCGACTAACATTAGTACAATTTCCACCAGCATCCTGTTTGTCAACAGCACCGGTGGCAGTTGTTAACCCGGGCCTCGACCGATACAGTATGGTGCCACTTAGATGAACTTGCATATTAGTTTTGGTAAAAGTGTTTTACGTTGGATGCCCTTCCTGACACAATCCTCACCTTTTATCCAAGTTTGGGAGCGGCACAAGAGATGCACTGAAGCCACTCATGGTGTGTGAGGTGTTAAAATAAAAGTTACCTGACCCAATCTGAGCCTGAGCTGTGTGAAATCTCTGAACAATCTGTCAGCAGAAAAATTGCAGTGTCAGTAATGCAGGCGCTAAAATTAGATCAGGACAAAGAGTCATGCACTGTACGACAAAAATCTGTACTTTTCATTGAACTCTGAACTTTTTAGAAATAAGACGAGTTCTAAATATAAACTTAAACTTACGCAAATATTTTCATTGGTGACGAGAAGCATTTTAAATTGGAATTTATGATTTTATGACCAAACCTTTCATAGATTCCAAATGCAAAGTTATTGTTTATTTTATTGTATTCATAGGTGTGTTTTAGCACAGAGGTGGCTTTTAAGAAAGATGCTGATGAATGTCTTTTCTGAGATTTTATTGAACTACGTATCAACTCAGTTCTGTGTTTTAAGAACAAAGTAAAGCATCATAGACTGGATTCATTTATTAATCTTTCTTAATTTATGTTTACAAAAATAGGTTGGTCTGAATCTACCCACTTTAAAAACATCTTGTATCATATCTCTAGTTTATTATTCAGTTTTCAACTTTTCAACTGTTATTTATTTTTGTTGGATTTGTCTGTATTTTTCACGTCTTAAGGATAATTCACATATTTCAAAAATATTTATTCGCATCTCTAATGTTGGAATGCCATTTACTAAGTCTGACATTTTCAGATCAAAGTGTCAGTCTTATTCTATAATTTATATTAGAATGAGTTCTGAGATGAGAGTGTTGTTCGTGTTTCTGTGCAGACATGAATGAGCACAGCTCTCGCAGCCACAGCATCTTCCTGATCAACATCAAACAGGAACACGTGGAGACGGAGCAGAAACTGTGTGGGAAACTCTACCTGGTGGATCTGGCTGGCAGCGAGAAGGTATGAGTCCCTCAGTCAGTTACATTTCAGCAGGTGGATGCGGAATGATTTAATTGATTTGTCCTGAATACAGGTCAGCAAGACCGGAGCTGCAGGTTCTGTCCTGGATGAGGCTAAAAACATCAACAAGTCTCTTTCTGCTCTTGGAAATGTGATTTCTGCCTTGGCTGAAGGAACGGTAAGTCTTGTTCATTCTTTTGGCTTTTAGGTTTCTATTTCTAAATGGTTTTTCTTTGTTTGTTTTTGTTAAGAATATGTTTAAAAGTGAGGTTTATTCATTATCCATTGGTTTATGAGTGGTAAAATGATCAAACCTCCTTAAAATGTTTACATTTCAAGATGAATTTATTGTTGAATGATGGATTATTCTACATCATTTTATTTAACGATTATGTTCATTACTTCTATCTCTCACATCCAACTCTTGGTTTTCTGCTTCAGTTTTATTTTGTGTAGTATATTTCAGTCAGCTCGACAGATCTGACTGAAATATATTAAACTAACCAGATTTGTTGGCTACAGCACAATCTGACACTGTTTTTTTCATTCAACTGTTTTTTTAGACAGGTTAATCCCAATGAGCCTCTGAGACTCATTTACAAGAGAGACCTGACATTACAGGAAAAAAAAAAATCATTCAACCTTTATTATTTATTTATTTATTTATTTAATATGCCACTTTTGTTCCAGGCTTTGGATCCAATTTTCAAATATTTAGAACAGGGGTCTGCAACCTGCGGCTCTGGGGCCACAAGTGGCTCTTTAGTCCCTAATATGTGGCTCTAAGAAGCTTTGACCAAAACGTACAGGAAATGTAATTGTTCTGGTTTTCATACCCACAACAAAAAAGGCTAGTTTTGGCTGCTCTTTATTTATTTATTTTTTGTCAATTTTCTGCAAATGTTTGAGCGACTACTGTTTTTTGCTTTATTACTTGAAAGTGGGATACTTAATTTCTCCTCACATAAAATGCCACGTAGGCCTGCAGAGTTCAGTGTTTTCATTTTCATCTAAAGGTAAATGGACTGTACTTGTATAGCATCTTTCTATTTTATCGAGATACTCAAAGCACTTTACAACACAATATGTGCCCTCATTTACCCATTCATACAGCACTTTACTAGATCTGTATACAAAGAATAATCAGTGCTTTATCATATTCATACACCGATGGGACACCCAATGAGGGGTTCAGTGTCTTGCCCAGGGACACTTCAGCATGCTTGTGGAATCGAACCCCCAACTCTTGCATTGGAGGACGACTGCTCTAACCACTCAGCCAAACTAGTAGAAACTAAAGTGTTTTGACTCCTTTACACCAGTTATTTTTTTGTCCAAAAATGAAAAATTATCAATAAATGTTGAAATTTATTATTGATTACTAGTTTTCAAATGTCACCCCCACTGGCCAGATAAACCCCCTCCAACTACCTCAAAGTGGCCCATGGGCCACCAGTTGATCATCACAGTTGTTGCTGGTTTCGTGGCTCCGGGCTCTGTTTTATTTAATGAGTGAAGGGCCAGAAATGGCTCTTTGATAAAAAATAAAAATAAATAAAAAAAAGGCTGCAGACCCCTGATTTAGAACATAACAATTTTATACAATAAAACAATACAATACAACTTTATTTATAAAGCACTTTAAAAACAACACCATTGGCCAAAGTGCTGTGTGCTAACACATACAAGCAAGTATAAAACACTATAAAATCAACTGAAACTGTAAAAGTAATGAACTGTTAAAATAAAAAAAGTAAAAGAAAATACAACAGTAAAACCAATATTTCAAGCTGAGTTAAAAGCCAAAGAGAGAAAAAAAATGGGTTTATGTTTATAATTTGCTGATAAATCTCCAAGCATTTAAGGAAAACAAGATAATTTTTTTTTGTTTATTTTGTTATTTTTTCTTCATTATTTTTCATTTTTCCCCCTAACTTTCCTCTCTTGTCTGATCTTCTGTGTCTTGCAGAAATCTCATGTTCCGTACCGTGATAGCAAAATGACCCGCATCCTGCAGGACTCCCTCGGTGGGAACTGTCGCACCACCATGTTCATCTGCTGCTCCCCCTCCAGCTACAACGAGGGAGAGACCAAATCCACTCTGATGTTTGGGCAGCGGTACGTCATGGATTGAGTCAATGAAGCTTTGGATCTCCGTAACAATACATTTTGCACAAAGCAATAAAATATGTTTAGAAATCATTACGCTGGGAAAAATGTACCATTGTGAATTTATTGTATCTTTTATGTACAACTTATTTTTGCACTGTGTGCATTCTTCCTCTAAAATTAGGGCATTGAACTATTTTTAACATGACCTAGAATCCAAAAAGTTCACATAAAGATTTTCATTATACTGCATTTCATTATTATTATTATTGTTGTTGTTGTTTATTGTTGTTGTTGTTTTCAGAAAGTAATGCTCTTTGGTGCACTGGTATATAAACTAGTCTGGCATCATTTTTTGCATTAAAGACCCTTTTAAAAGTTTTTTTCCTCCTCACCCCTAAATGCCTTTCAGTAGAACTGTTAACACTAAACTTTGGCAGCAGTAATTTATTTACAATGAATTAATATTTTGACACCCTCCCATCTTTCTTTGCTTTTTTCCGTCACAGTGCCAAGACCATCAGGAACACCGCCTCCATCAACCTGGAGCTGACAGCGGAGCAGTGGAAGAAGAAGTACGAGAAGGAGAAGGAGAAGAACAAGACTATGAAGGACACCATTCAGAAGCTGGAGGCTGAGCTCAACCGCTGGAGAAATGGTGAGCTTCAACATGTTACCTTCTTCTGACTGAACCTTTAACTTGTTTTCACAGCTTCTTTGGTTTGGACTTGGCAGCCAAAATAGGAAGAGTCTCATCTATTTGTACACCCGCTTATATTTTTCTGCTTTTTACTCCTCTCAGGAGAGGACGTGCCTGAGACAGAACAGACCACGGCGAACATAGTGACCTGTTTGGAGTCGGTGGAGGAGCGCCCCATCTTGGACAACGATACCTCCTCCATTGTGGTCCGCATTTCAGAAGAGGAGCGGAAGAAGTACGAGGAGGAGATCCGCAAGCTCTACAAGCAGCTGGATGACAAGGTGAAAACACACAAACTGCTCATTATTGTCAATATGTTTCTGTACCTCCTCCTATATTTCATGTTTTTTTAACATCCTTCTTACTATTTTAACACATAATAGATTTATAAATGGGACATCATTATAGTTAAGTATTGGGGCTTTACATTTATAATATTGTGTTATTGCAGGATGATGAGATCAACCTGCAGTGCCAGCTGGTGGAGAAACTGAAGCAGCAGATGCTGGACCAGGACGAGGTGAGAAAAAAACACACGTTCAGAAACAAATTGTATCAGAAAACATTTTCTGAACTTGGTTTTAAAAATCAAGCTTTTTCTTCTGTTTTCATCCTCTTACCTATCTTTTTTCTTTTTCGTTCTCCTCCTTCTTCCAGCTCCTGGCTTCCTCCAGGGGAGACGGGGACAAGGTCCAGGCTGAGCTCGGCAGGCTCCAGGTGGAGAGCGACTGTGCCAAGGCTGAGGTGAAGGAGGTGCTCCAGGCTTTAGAGGAACTGGCCATAAATTATGACCAGAAGAGCCAGGAGGTGGAGGAGAAGGGTCTGCAGAACCAGCTGCTGGCTGACCAACTGGCCCAGAAAATGGTACATTTCAGGGTTGACGTTTTGGATGGACTGAGACAGAGGAGGGGAAACAAAATAAGACAGGAAGTAGAACAGGAGGATTCTTTGGGCTGCATGTTGCAGCAGGGACAAACATATATCAGAAATTTATCAAAAATCAAGGTGGACATTTTGCACAAGTCATCCTTATTCAAAACGCTGAATCTAAAATCACTGACTTTATGTTTTATGACTATTAAAAAAATACTTATATTTTCTCTTAATGAAACAGTCTCAGACTGAGACTCTGATGCTTTTTGCGTCTTATTTCTCTGTTTATCAGGCGAGTCTGATGGAGCTGGAGGCAGAGCTGTCTCGTATGCAGGAAGTGAGCGGTCAGCAGAGGAAACGCATCGCTGACGTCCTCAACGGGTTGATGAGGGACCTCAGCGAGTTCAGCTCCATCGTGGGGAACGGGGAGATAAAGCTGGTGAGATAGAGGTTTTATTCTGAGAAAATAAAGGTGCATCAAACATGACAGACTTCATGCTGTGTCTTCTAGTTCTGTCTGGGACTCATTATGAATGATGATGGTGATGATGATTCTGGGTTGGATAATGTTGCAAATTAATTTTCTCCACTCTACAGCCAGTGGAGATCAGTGGTGCGATCGAGGAGGAGTTCACCGTCGCTCGTCTCTACATCAGTAAGATCAAGTCGGAGGTGAAGAGCATGGTGAAGCGTTGTCGCCAGCTGGAGAACATGCAGCTGGAGTGCCACCGCAAGATGGAGGAGACCGGGAGGGAGCTGTCCTCCTGCCACCTCCTCATCTCTCAGGTGAGAGAGATTTACAGGGAATGAGGCAGGGCCGGCCCAAGGCATAAGCAAACTAAGCGGTTGCTTAGGGCCCCGGGGCCACTAGAGGGTCCCCTAAATGGACTTGAATTATTGTTTGGTTTTTTTTGTCACGATTTCTATATGATTCTATTTAATATTTTAAGTTCAGCGTTTGCAAATTTTTGCATTCATTTACATAGTTTTAATAACTATTTATTCAGCTTTAAATTGTTTTTTTTTTTTAAACCATTTTACGTGGTTTCAAGTAATTGTTCATTTACATTATTTAAGTATTTCCTTGATATTTAGTTTTGTCTGTTTTTGCACAATTTAATTTATTTTTATGCATCTAAGTTATTTTATGTGTTTGTTGTTGGTCTTGCATTGCAAATGATTTTGAACATTTAGTGTTGCAGTTCTTTGGAACCAAAGAGAAAACACCAGATGACACTTTGCTGTAAAATACATTGCATGCATACTGGTGTTTCTTTTTCTTTTGTAGAGTTGCAATGCATTTATGTTAGGTGGGTGAATGGTCTGATCATCTGACTGTTGATTGCAGTAGTCCACATTATTAGCAGAAATAGAGGGCCCCAAACCAAATTTCGCTGCGGGCCTCATGGAGGCTTGAGCCAGCACTGGAATGGGGTATAAGTAGAAATGGATAGCAGCTAAAGAGGAAGTGGACTACAGTATACAAAAAAGAGATCAAAGAAAGAAAATGTGAAAAGTCAAGTTAAAAGATTTTTGGTTGTGGGTTTCTCTGTTCGTGCAGCACGAGGCTAAGATTCGCTCTCTGACTGAGTACACGCAGAGCGTGGAGCAGAAGAAGAGGCAGCTGGAGGAGAGCCACGACTCCCTGAGCGAAGAACTGGCCAAACTGCAAGATCATGGTAGCATGCATACCGCTCAATTATTTATTTGTAAAAATAATGATCTGTGACAAAACTATTCAAGCTGCTGTGCAGTTTGTCCCTGACCGTTGTCTTTCATTTCATTCTGCCAGACAACTCTGTGCTGGAGGAGAAGGATGGAGAGAAGGGTGAGACAGAGGATGGAAGCATGAAGGTAACATTATTAAAAGTTTCCTCAGATTGCATGCAGATCAGACTTATTTTGGTTGTTTCCTTGTTCATTTATTATTTACGATTTTTATGCATAGATAGAAACATCAAAGTGATCTGTTTGCATTTTTAAAGTTTCTGCCTCTGTCAGCATCTTTTTAATACATTCACTCTTGTCACTTCCAGAAATCTCTTCGTCAGCAGGGGGAGTCTCAGCGCCTCCATCATAAGCAGCTTGCCCGCCTGCGGGATGAGATCAATGAGAAGCAGAGGATCATCGATGAGCTCACTGAGTCTGTCGTCACCTTTGTTGTTTTTTTCCACATGAAATACTTAAATGTGGTGTTTTCTTATGAGTAGTTTATTGTTATTTCTTTAATTTATGAGTTCCTTCCTTTCTCTTTTGTATGTGTTGTTTCCTCCAGTCGTAACTCCAAGCTGGAGCTGGAGCTGGTTCAGCTGCGTTCTGACTTTGAACGCCTGAAGAGTCAGGACAGCACCAAGAGCGAGCGCCTGGAGGAGCTCTCGTAAGTGTTGCTTTTTTCTCAGATTAGATCCTTCAGCTTGAATTCAAATTCTGAACGTCGAACAGTTGGTGTGATAAGTAAAGAAGAGTAGTTTGTTGACAGTTTTATGCTTAATTTGCCTTAAATGGGACAGAGTTGATCATTTTCAGTTCATTTTCTTTTAAGTTCCGACAGAAGGAACTAAGAACGACATAAAGAGAGTGAAACGTTCTGCAGAAAAACACATTTACCTTTTCATAATGCTACTTTTGTTTGTTAGATTCCTGCATGAGCGCCATGAGCAGACCAAACAGGACTTGAAGGGTCTGGAGGAGACTGTGGTGAGTAACATAAAGACGACTGTCCCTCCATATCACCCAGAGCTGACTGCTCTGATCTCCTGTCCATCTGTCTGTCTTTCAGGCCCGCGAACTCCAGACCCTCCACAACCTGCGCAAGCTGTTCGTTCAAGACCTCACGTCGCGGGTTAAAAAAGTAAAGTTTTTTTTTTTTATTTAAAAAAATGGCATGAATACTTTGGTCATACTTATAAATAAATAGCAGCAGCATCCTCAATCTTTCTCATCCCTTTTATATTTTGATAGCTAAAAAAATGAAACGATACAAACATATAAATATATATAATTTCTTTCATTTGTTTATTTATTTTTCTTCTTTATCATTTCCTCAGAGTTCCGAAATGGAACCTGATGATAGCGGGGGGTCTTGCACCCAGAAGCAGAAGATTTCCTTTCTTGAGAATAACCTGGACCAACTTACAAAGGTTCACAAACAGGTGAGTAGCCCACAGACAATGAGAGCGACTTTATACAAGTCATTTTCTGCCTCAATGCTGAATGAATGCTGGAATGTGTTGAATAAGCTGAAATTTAGTAGCTAAAGCTAAGTACATTAGTCTAATAACAAGCTCAAAAGAGCAAAACCTAAGCTTAAAGTACCTCAAGCCTAAAAGCTGAAAATATCAACAGAGTAGCTAAAACTAGCAAAAGGCTAGCTAAAATTAATGTTATGAATGTTTATTGTTGTGTGCACCTCATTTGTGTTCTTTCTTTAAAACGAGACTCTTGTAAATTAATCCTCATTACGCAATGAGACTAACATGTATAAATAAATGTTGTATGAAAAAAAAGTCAAAAGTAGCATGAGACAAATAAAATCAAAACACTGAAGAAGATTCCAAAGAAAACAGTGTTTTTGAAGGAATTGGAGAGATCTTTAAAGTATTTCTAAGAGAAAAATGTTTGCAAACAAAGTTGGATATTTTAAAAGTATACAAAAATATTTTAAACAGAATTCTGGCTAATGGCTAAAATAGTACAAAGTATGATGAATTAGTTCAAAACCTACAAAAAATATGAAAACAATAGTGTTCCTTAGATAACTTTTACTTTTTTGCATTTTATAATGAATATGAATGTTTCTGTGTTGTGTCCTTTGGTGATTTTTGTTGTGAATTTAGCCTTTAACCATGTTTGCATGTCCTAAATGCTTCTTCTCCTCGCCTTCTTGCAGCTGGTTCGTGACAATGCAGATCTGCGTTGTGAGCTTCCAAAGCTGGAGAAACGTCTTCGGTCTACTGCTGAGAGAGTTAAGGCCCTGGAGACTGCACTGAGGGACGCCAAAGAAGGCGCCATGATGGACCGCCGCCGTTATCAGCAGGAGGTTGATCGCATCAAAGATGCCATGAGGGCCAAGAATGCTCTGAGGCGTCCCCATGCAGCTCAAATTGGTACTGCACTGAATCCAACCAATCATGCCATATTATTATAACCACTAACACATGCAATATATATATATTTTTTAAACAGCACAATAAGTGGAATTAATTGAGGACCAAGGAAATATATTTTTTTTAAAAATGGCATATTAATTTGCAACATATTTTCAACAATTTACTTTTTTATCTTTTATAACTGAGTGATAACCCAATTTTATCACAACTGTGCTTCACCCTTAATCACTTTATCACCCTGACAGCTAAACCAGTGAGACCAAAACAGCTTCCTGTTTGCTCTCCTACCAATCCATTCTACTCCTACATCTGTGCTACTGAATATGCCAACGCCTACAGCAATGCACTTTTCCAGAACGGCACACAGAAGAGCTCCTCCAGCATCAACTGCAGCCCCAACTCCGTCCAGAGCAACACGTGAGTCCACATCTTTCCTGCAGTTTTTATTGTGTGTTAAAACAGCTTGTTTGTGGTCATGTAAAGAGTTATTCATAATCACACTGGATTTGAACCTACAGATGTTTGAGCTTTGAAATGACGAGGTTTCTCAGTAACGTCTCTTTTTTTTTGTTTGGTCTTTGACAGAGTTTCTACAGCACTGGGCTACAGAGCAGGCAGATATAACGGAGACACACTGGAGTCCTTCCCACTCAACATTGACAATGGTACACCAATAAAACAACATCTGAATGCATCTTTTCTATAATGATATCTAATAGTTCCGATCCTGATAGTTACTGTACGTTTGAATAAACTCTTGTTTTGGTTCCAACAGGTAACAGCAACAGTGAAACCAGAGACATAAACGATAACAGGTGAGGATGTAAGGCGGTGTCCATTTGCAGTGAAAAGTGGTCAAGTTAATGAGTTAAATGAGCTGACTGTGTTTTTATTTTGTCTCTGCGTTGACAGGAGTGACGTTCATTGTGGCAGCGAGGTGGATGATTCAAACAGACAATACATCATTCAGCAGGAAACTGCTGCAAGTTAATATGAAGGTAAATACACAAACACACACTTGCACACATTTCTGTGACTCGTAACTTCCAAAATTTTACAGCCAAATCTCACCCTCATTTTACATTAATAGATGGCAAACCAAAGAAAGGCTGACTCATAAAATGTCATTTGAAAGATGTCTTACATCAATAAGCAAAATGTTTCCAGTTCATAGGCAGAGAAGTTCACACACATTACTTGAAAAATGCAACCCACAGAGATATTAAACAATAACAGTTACAGATTGCAACACACTCTTCCAGCCTCAACCAAGAATTTACACAAGTTTTCTGAGTGAAGAAACAGTACAGTAGTTCCTCGTTTATAGTGGGGGGTCCGTATCCTGAAGCCCCGCGATAAGTGAAAAACCGTTTTAAACCCTTCCCACACTCTTGCAATATTCTAAACAATGTTTCTAAACTCTAAACGCTCTAAAAGAGCACAGAACGTCACGATTTCAGCTCCCTGCCTCCTCTGCTCTTTGCAACCTGCAAACAGTCTCGGCCACGCCCACTTCTTCACTCTGCACAGAGAACAGCTGATCAGCTGCAGCAGGAAGTTTATCCTGCAGCTGTGGGCTGCACAAAGATGCAGCAGGTGCTAAATAATTTAAAATAATTTATTTTAAATAAAAATTCCATGCTGACTGTGCGGCTCATCCATCAATCAGCCAATTGTGTGTCATGTCCAATCTTATTTTGAAAAACCGCGGTAGAGTCTGCGAAAAACAAACCGCAAAGTCGCGAGGGACTACTGTATTCTTATGCTTTGTGATTCATTTGTCCCTTCTTGGTCATCGTTGAAATAATCTAATTTGACGTGGCTGAAGGCAGGAACTCAGTCCTGTGGTGTCCACAGATGTGAGAGGATAAAAAAAAAGACTAAATCTCTTTACATGTCACGAGTCTGATCAGCTATGTGCAGCTTTTTGAATGTTACAAACATTCACCGCTAAATATCCCAGACTTTCTATATTGTTGCATGACAGTGGATGTATGTAAAATCAATCATTATTTAAATTCTATATTTATGGGTTCATCTAGCATTTATTAATGTAAGTCTTCTATGGAAAACCACATGTATTTTTGAGTTTTAAATTATTTTTATTTTATTTTATAAGTTGTGAAAACATGTTTTTTTTTTAAACATAGCTTATAATTGAATGTATTTTAAAATGAGAAATTAATGAGAAAGACAATTTATTTCATGTTGTTTTCCAACTTATGAAACCACAAACTACTGTAGTTTTACCTAAGGCTTTTATATATATTAAAACATAAAAATAGTTGTTAGACACAGTCACAGACACTTTGATTCAGGATCTTGCTTTTATAAATGATGACTTTTCCATTGTCTCTTTGCAGAACACGACCAAACACTGTACCCCTCCAAGGACCCCCTCTTTCTTTCCATTCTGCATGCAGCCCTCGCCACCACCCCTCCCACTGCATCACCAATGAAGATTAAGCTGAAGATCTGTAGCCCTGTAGTCTTCTAACTAGATGAAGCCCCTCCTGTTGCTATGTTGGCCACTCTTTCCCTCAGTTTTGGGGTTCAGTCCCTTCTAGTTCAAAGTATTTAAAAAGTCTCAGTTTTAATTAAATAACTGAACATCCACTCAGATTGCACATTGATCTCAGCCAATCAGATGGTCACCAGACAGAACTGATTACCCCCTGAGGCAGTTGAACTGAAACCGGGCTGACCTCGTTCCTGATCGCTCTCTGAACTCACACATTGTAAATATCAGTGCCGTACACTCCAGTAGATTTTTGACCAGCAACTCTTTGTCTGAATGCACAGCTTCCTCCGTCCCCTTGCACAGATTTTCCAGCAGGTTTAACGTGGGTGTAGGCAGTCACAATCCTTTTTCTCTGTCGTAAGTAAAGAGTGCAAACAGTACCACCAGCTTGTAAGAGAAGCCCCACTCTCTCTGTGCATGTTGCTCTGTGGGTAAAGCCTTCAAATCTCTGCATGTGTCCTGAGTTTGGTCTGCAGCTAGTATGCTGTAAGTAAAGTTGAACTGATTCAGCAGAAACAAGAGAGAGAGCTAGTTCCCCTTAATCAAAACCTTCATTTAAGCACTGTATCAGTTATATTTTAGAGTAAAGTTCAGTGCACATCAGAAAACAACACATCATTAAATGTGATGTTATAAGTGATGTAACTGTAACCCAGCTCAGAACTGCAGTTGCTTTGATGCTGTAATGTTGCAGCTGGATGATGCCCTGCATCTCTTACACACACTCAATGATTCTGTTTTTTTTTTTTGTTTGTTTGTTTTTTTGTCAAGCCTTAACTTGAAATAATTTCTTACAATCAAATGATCATGCTCTGTCCTTTGCAGATATTTGTAATTTCTACCTCTGGAACAGCTTGGTGTTAATGGATATTATCCTCTCAAATACCAAACCCTAGAAGTTCTACAGATAGATTCAGAGGATCAGTAGCTGTAGATGCCTGTGGTAGATTTAAATGCTTTAATTATAGCTGAACTTGTATCTCCTGAAGATTTATTCTTGCACATTGTCATTTGTCACTGTATCCAATCAGAGATTGGCTTTAAAGGTGCTTGTAAAAATAGCTTCATTAAGCAGATGTCCTTTAAAAAGAAATGGCATTTGTCAGTTTATCATGGTCAAAATGTAAAGTTATGTTATTTGCATGTATGTTGCCTGTCTAGATTTCTACAGGAGAAAAGTACAATTTTGTTTTATGACAACAGGGATGTCATTTAGTGGTACTGTGCTTTTAAGAGTTCAGTGTGTCTGTGGGTGTTTCCCCAGCTGAGCAGTCACCAGTCTGGGACACTTGAAGGAAAGTTTGCATGTGCTGGTATTCCTCTAGAAAAAATCCTGACCAGCCAATCAGGATAGAGGAAAGCAGCCTTTCATAAGTTGGTAAGAAAGACTGTGTGCGCAGTGAAACAAATGTCCCTGCATGCTTACTGTCAGGGGTCAAAAGAGTTCATGGTGAGTTCAAGTACTTTGAAATGTTCGCGCTTCATCAAAATTCATCCACATCGACTCTGACTCCCTTGTTTATCATCTGTCCCAATTTATTTGCTGACATCTTATATTTACACCTTAAAACATATTCCATTAGTAAATATCAGCAGTTGTCTAATGTTTCATCTTTCACATTTCAAAATGACGCAAGACATTGCTGGTTGAAGTAAACAAGCATCACTAATAAATTATTAAATTTTAGCATATTGACACCACAAAAGTACTTTTTTATTCATTTATTACTTATTTTTTTGTTTGTTTTATAGCAATTATGATGAACGTGGCATTAGATGTTTAGAAAGTATGAATGCTTTTTTTTTCTACACAGGTTCATTATTCATAATAACACCATCCGGCCTAATGCACTTACTGGCATTTACAACATCTCAGGGCTTAACGTTCAAAATCAAAGCAAACGTATCATCTCCATTGTTTTCCTCCTAAACTATGTGATTGCTGATGAACAATCAGATTAAAGTGTCCTCCTTACAACTAAAGGAATGAGAGAAACTTGTACATAAATAGCATAGCATCCCCGATGAAGTTAATCTTTCCAAAGTTCCTGTTGTGTAACTCCAGACATACCCTACATCTGATATATTTAAATTCAATAATCCTGGACTATAGGAGGGAGTGTGTGCTATGGTATCACCTGCTGTTACTCTGTCTCAATTCAACATGTCTAAAGTACATGTGCTATTTATTGTTAATCTTGTAAGTAAAATGGTGTGCCATGACATAGTAAGATGCACGCTAACCTTGTTCTGAGAAATGCTTCTTTTATTTATTTCTGTAGGCCTCCACTGTAGCGTCAGAATGATTATGTGAAGCACCAACATGCAGAATATCTGTAAATATAGATTCATCACTATGCTCTATTGTATGTGGATCTCTGTGTTGTAGTAAAAAAGTTCAATAAAACTGTAATAAAAAGAGATTTGATGCTTGGATTCCTTCTCTGAACGATGGTAAATGTTTTTAATAAGGTTTCAATGAAAGCGGTATCAAAGATGTGATCAGATCAAGGGACCCACCATAGGGGTGCTAGGAGGGGCCATGACCACATCCCCCCACTGGCCTTCCTTGGCCAGAGTTTTATCCTCTTGAGTCCCAAGGGTTGATTTGGTGAGCATTTTTTTAGTCCTCCTAGCTATTTAAAAATATTAGAACCTCATTAACATAATGTTTTTGAGCAAATAAGAGTTAAAAATATATGTTATTTAAATAAAAAAACTTAAAATCTAGTCCTTCTGCATAACAGTCGTTCCTAAACCAATGTTCTCAACATTAGGATGCGGGGTGCAGAAGCTTTTATGCACGCTATTTTTAGAAATATAAATTTAGGGGAGGACAAACCTCAATATGTTTAGTGACAGTGTTTATCTCAATAAGTAATATAATCTGCAAAAAAGAAACCAACAATGAAAAAACAACTAAAGTGGACCTATGTACATCTGAAGTATATCAGAAGTACAGCAATAACTCCCATATTGCTAAACTTCTAAATAACCTATACATGCCAACTGCAAAACTAATCTCCAGATAATCTGTTCTGGCTTTTGGTTTTGGTGCCACTCCAGGATTTCCAGTGGCAAAGTGAGGTGGTTTTGGTGCCACTCCAGGATTTTCAGTGGCCCCCCACTTTGCCACCCTATTAAAAACGTCTGGATGCGCCACTGGATTGGATGAAAATGGCTCCACCTATTGGTTGCAAACTAAATATTACACATTCAGGTTTAAATATCTGTCCACCCTCATTTATTAGTAACCTCAGAGGCAGATTTAGGGCCCAAGGTAAACCACAAGCACTGAGGTCTTTAGCTTGTTGTTATTTTTCAATTCATATTCGTCAAAGAGCTGCTTTTAGCTTGTTATAGTTTATTGATTCAAGATGGCTGCCACAGCTAATCAACCTTAGAAAATATAAAAATGGTTATAACTCAGTCAGTTTTGTAGAAATTGAGCTACAGCTTTGTGCGGTAGCTGAGAGTCATCCCCAACACATCAGAGCATTTACAAGATCTTGAAATTTAGCATGAAATTGCAAGTACATCAACATTCCTTTCAAAATTTGATTAAAAATACAAATCTGAACAACTTAAAACTCGGGCTTGACAGACGATGGGCAATATTTTCAATCATTGCAACGATGTTCCCAGAAAGTTTTCAAACGGAGCACCGGGTGGGAACCCCTGGTAACTTTTGGATGACACACCAAACCCAAAAGCCATAACATAATCTTTGTTAAAAAAATTTTTGGACAATACTTCATTTTAAAGACTCACATAGCAGCATCAGTTTATTTGGTGTTTATGAGGTTCTTATCTGTACCTTTAACTAATGATAACCACCTCTGAGCTTCTAAATCCTAACAAGTAGAATAATTATTTTATTATTAATTATTTAATTAATTATTATACTTCACAAATTCAGCTTCAGTAGTTGTTGTTTTTTAAAACACATTTCCTGTCTGTCTGACACGTCTATCTGTCATTACAACCTCTGACCTGAGCAGGAAATTAATCTTCAAATTTTCCATAAAAGGACCAGGCTAACAACAATGAAAATGAAGCTTGCAGTAGAAGGAGTGAACAGATAATTATCTGACAAAGAATATAAAGCCTTCATTTTAAATGCTGTGGAACATAACAAACCTTCTTCTATACATCAGTGTATATCAGATTAACATATTAAATACAGGAATTACTGTATTATTGTCTAGATGTACATTAACAGTATTTATATTCGCATGAACACTGTGAATAAGAAGAATATTTCTAAAATTCTATTACAATGATGTAAAGCACTGCAGAGGAACATCCTTGATGTCATTTTATAATAAGCTGCTCCTTGTGGTTCCCATGAGAAAGAAAGCAGCAACATAAACATTAGAGGCATGTGAAGCATCTTCAGACTGCTGTGGGGTGAACAAACGAAGCAGCAAAACTTCATCTCAAATGAGATGACTGGACTGTGACAGTTTTTAAAAATTTCAGTTTCACAGCAAGATGTTCAGAAGACAACAAATCAAACATTTTAAAGTGGCTCAGCCTAAATTTATCACTTCACTTGAATTTTGGGCTTTGAGATGCAGAAAATGACTGATCCCATTATATTTAAGAAACATAACCATTTTTTTCCACACTGTCTGACATTAAATCAGACTAAATGTTTCCTGTTTTAGGTCAGTTAGGATTCCCCAAATATTTTCTGTTTGTCAAATGTCCGAATAATGAGAAAAAATAATTTAGAGTATTTTTTTTTGCAATAAAACAAATACAAAAATTCTTCCCTTATTGTTGTAAATTAGCTTGCATGTGACATTTTTCATAAAACAAACAACTACATAAAAATGAACAAACAGAAAGGAAATATTAAACAGGTGAACCATGAAGAAGCTTATTAACTACCTAAAAACTGATGGGTTTAAACTTTCCCATTTGTAGAACTACATCAAATAGACTGAACTCACGTCGTTTTAACTCAGCCGGGTTGGATTTTTTAGTACGAGCAGACCGAATCATGTTTTATACCTCCCCGAATGTAGTTAAACAACAAATGTGTTGAATTGGAGCTGCTAAAAATGTTTAGGTAAAAATAACAACCTAGCCATAGTGTGACCATCTAGTGCAAATAATTATTTAAGCTAAGACCAACAATGTTATTTTAGGAAACCAAACTCTGTGTTTAGTGCAAACTAGAGGTAATAAAGCCAACCAGGGTAAATATCTCCTCACAAGTTGTTCTTGTTATTTGTACTTATTACATCCTAAAGCAGAGGTCCAGGCTCGATTTAGTCAACTTCTGGCTTAAGATGGCAGAAAATGACACGATTATATCAACACAACATGTAAATATATCAAAAGCACAACAGAGAACATCAAATGAGACCAATCAAACTCTTGTTTGCAACCAAGAAAAGATGTTGCGTATCTAACTTTAGTTAATGTAGATTCTTAAACTGGCCCAGTTTGAAAAGGATTTTAATTTTGCCCCCCTAAGTGAGTTTGACCCCCTGGCTTAAAGCCTTAACTGAGTTATAAAAATAACCCAGCAGTTTTTAGTGTGAACAACATTCGTCGTGTCTGCCTTTTTCAATTGTCACATAGGAAGAGATTAAAGATCAATGTTTTTTTAATTTTGTTTATATCTTTAACCAGGAAGTCCCTATCAAGGCAGACCTGGTCAAGATAGCGAATCAACAATTTTCTCCATCTTCTTTTAGCTCGTTTTAGTTTGTGGGAGTCAAGAAACACTCAAAAAACACAAGTTAATCAAATAAGTCCAAATCAGCTGACCTTTGTATTTTATGTCTGGATCCAAAAAAGGAGCTGCTAATTTAAAGCTCTATATGACTGGGCCTGAATAAACCCAGTCTAACCCAGTTTTTGTGATCTGAAACCCATTCATTGATTTGCGCACGTTGCGCGTCCCCGCTGCGCGCTCCCGCTCCCCGGTGAACTGGACTAGCGGCTCCAGAGGGACAGCAGGAGTCCACGGGAGACCTCCGGGTGGGTCAGTGGCAGGATTTTACAGCCTGTGGAGTCCGTCGGCTGTGAAAACACCCCGCATGAACCAGAGGAGCAGAAGGTAAATATATCTAAGATATTCTGTAGCTTGGTTTTGTTCTGACCACCCACACGTGGTAAACTGATGCAGAGCTGAAATTCATTGCCAGATGACTGCGAGGGCTGTCGCATGATGGTGCAAGCTGAGCCAACAATATTTGCCCTTTGAGACACATTCATGCTCTG